CTCTTGTGTTTCCTGCAAGAGATACTGAGGAAGAAGAAGTTGCAGGACTTAGCAGTTTATTGGCTATGAGGGTCAGGGAGAGGGAGAAGACAATGTTACTTACAGTTTTAACTAAGAAAATATAGGTGTCCTTTATAGAAAAGTGGGAAGTTAGGAGAAGCATTACAAGTTTTCATGAAGAGAGAAGGGTTTATTTGGGGCATTTTGAGTTTGAAGTACTGACAGAACATTATAGTGAAGTTGGCTGCTAGAACTTGGAAATTTGGATCTGGAACTTAAGATGAAGTTAAGAGTGGAGATTTAAGTTTAGTCATTGCATAAATGTGGTTTGATGAAGCTATGGAGGTAGATAAGACCTTCAGGAATTGGGTATTGACCAGAGAAGCAGATGCAGGCCTAAGACAAAACTTTTGGAAATGAATACCCACATTTGGGGTTGGGGGCAGAATGACAGGAGCTGGGCAGGAACAGGAAAGCCAGCCGCAGGAAGAGAACAGGATAGTGCCATCACAGAAGCCAAGGGAGCAGCCGGCATGAAGCAGATCGTGCTGGAAAGACCCTGGATTTCCTGCCTTTCAACATATCCGCAACTTTGGTCTACACCAGTATTATCAGTTTCAATTTTAATGTAATCCATTTAGAGAAAAACGTCTAGGGAAAAATAAGTTCCTGTATTGGAGGGTACCAGATAATGATTTGTTTATTAAATACCTCATGGAATCCCAGTGCTTTACAAGAATTAGTTTAGGTATTACAAACATGTATACCAGGCTCTGCTACTTTGCAACCTTTGACAAATTAGTTAACTTTGCTGAGCCTCAATTTCATCATGTATCAGTAAGGAACCAGGTGCTATGTATGTTCCTTCCTGGCACTAAAATTTTCTGATCCTAATCATTTTTCATAATTTAAATTTTTTTCTTGTACCCTAATTCTGTGTGTGCTCATGTGTTTGTGTGTGTGCATGTGTACGTACATGTGCACACATACTCCACCTAAAGCCTGCATAACAAGAGTACATTTTGGTGACTTATTCATGAATAATTCAGAAATTTTAAAGCTATGCAGTGTAAAGAGACTCATATAATAAAAACGCCAAGTAAGGATGAATTTTTTCACCTGAA